GGAAAACACATTTTATGGACCTGGGATCAAGTTTATTCCGACTTGGGGTTGTGCTTCTAACAAATGTTGTGCACCCAAAAATTTTAGGATCTACAGTGAAAAATATCTAATTGTTAGGAAAGCACGATCTCAAGACGACTAAAAGGATATGGAAGTTGTGAATTTTTGAGAGAACTCTATTGATAAGAGAAGTGACGGTAAGAATGACATCATTCCATAAACATTTTGGGATATTAGAGTGAAACATAATGAAGTTAGTAAAGTCGACGAGATGTCGGTTTTTTCTCTCAGCGATCCCATTTTGTCGAGGAGTGTTGATACATGAGTTATGATTGAGGATGCCCTTATCAAGAATTCTCCTAATATAGAGTTAAGAAATTCACGAACATTGTCAATCGAAGAACTTGAACATGAATTTCGAACTAGGTCAAGATGAAGGAGTAAGATATTAAAAATGACTGCAACTTTAAATTTATCTTTTAAAATATAAATAAATGTCATCCGAGTGTGATCAACATTCAAAGTAATAAACCACCATTTATTGGTGTAATTAGGAGTGCAAGAAGGTCCTCATAAGTCACTATGAAAGAGAGAAAGGCATGAAAGGTGTGTAATTGTGGGGTGGATAAAGAACACGTGATATTTAGCTAACTTACATGTGAAATTAAAAGAAATTTTATTAGTAAACATCAACAAATACAATTATTTTAGATACTGGAAACTAGGATGACCAAAACGATAGTGTAACAACAAAATAGGTCATTCAGTAAACTGAGAACTGCAACTATTGGGTGAAGTCTCCTCGTTTTTCGTGCTTTTATCTTGGAACAATAAGAGCCCACCAACCCGCTTAGCAGTTCCAATCATCCTCCCCGAACGACGATCCTAAAAGACAAAGACATCAGAGGAAAAATGAGCAATGCAATCAATGTCATATGTCAACTTACTGACAAATAAAATATTACACTTCAACAGAAATACATATAACATATTCCAGAGTTGGATCTGTTGTTAAAACAATAGACCTTTTACCAGTAATGGAACTTTGGACTCGTTAGTAATTTTAAAAGTATATTTTCCTGGGCAAGGATAGTATGTCGAGAAGGCTTGAGAACTTCCAGTCATGTGGCATGTTGCATCTGAATCAATGATCCATGAATTAAAAGAAGTGTCATAGGATTGATACCTTGACGAATGTGAGAGGTTAGCCCGGAAAAGAGCAGACTGGATTCAAGCTGCTTGATTAAGTGCTACGATTGACTTTAAAGAAAATTGGAGGATTCCAAAAAGTTCTGGGTAGAAGCCGGTTGCACAGTATTGGATTCAGAAGCTGTAGTGAGACCCTTGACAGCAGAAGATTTGACCAAAAATTTGAATGCAGGTTTCCCGTGAAGCTTCCAACATTTATCACGAGTGTGTTTGGTTTGTAACAGAAATCAAAAGTAGGGTGACCAGCCTGGGATTGATCACTATTAGAGTGACAAGGCGGATACTTCGGCAAACACAGTGGACTCACCAAGCATGACAAGTCTCTGGCTCTCTTCCCGGCGAATCTCAGTGAAAGCAGTGTGAGTAGAAGGAAGAGGATCTTGGCCAAGGATACGGCCTCGGACTTCATTAAGATCTTTGTTGAGACCTGCCAAAAATTGGAACATGAGGTCCTTTTTCTACAATGTTTTGGAAAAAGTGAGAGGTCGGCCGAACATTCCCAAGTGTAGCCATAATACAGGTCACATTCTATTCATAATGCAACTAGATCATTGTACTGGTTTATGGTCTTTGATCCTTGTTTTGCCTCACGGATTTTCATAGATACCTCATAGAGTTGGCTTGAATTCCCTACATTTGAGTAGGTATCACGAACTATCGCTAGAGAGCACTCTCATAAGAAAGGAACATATATGATCGACCAATAAAAGTCTCCATGTAGTGGATCAGCCACAACATGACCATAGAATTCTACACTTACCAAGCTCCATATGTTGATCAGTCTTAGAAGGTTCACGAATCACACCAGTGAGATGACCCAATTTCCCACGCCCTTTGATGAACAAAGACACAAATTGGGACCATTGGAGAAAGTTACTATCGTTCAGTTTAAGGGTTTTAATCAAGAAGTTCATGTTTTTTTCCTATGCTCCAGTTAGAGGAATGGAGATTGAAAAATTAATCCTCTTGTGGACTGAAAAACATCTTCTTGTGATAGTTCAGTGCTGGAAGAGTCTGTCGTGATTCCGATTGAGCCAAAATAGATGTTAGGTTGTTGAGACGATGTAAGGCTCCGACTGCTGGAGGGAAGATATGTCCTTGGGAAAGGGTTTCTGCTAGAAGAAGACCTTCTGGCTGTCTGGAAGAATATTCTGGCAGTCAGATTACCTACTCTGGAGAGTCATCGACCAGCTGGGATCGAACAAAGAGGCAGGAACCAACGTATCTAGCGGGATACAACTAAGCAGGAGATGGAATCAAGAAAAAGAGAGGATCCAGCGGGAGTAGCGGGATCCAGCAGGAGAGTAACGAGATCCAGCGAGAGAGTAGTGAGATTTTGCAAGAGAGTAGCAGGATCCAACGGGAGACGAGATTTAAGTGGGATCTAGCAAGAAATTCCAACGGGAGGCGGAATCCAGCGGTAGATTCCAGCGTGACACTGAGCTTCCTAGCATCTGGAGGGGAGATAGCGGTTGGATTAGGAACCTGACTGTGACGCCATATTATAATAGAATAGAGTAGAACCAATGTGTCTCATATTGATGCAAAGAGAGGTATAAATACCCTATTACAAGATCTACTAGTAAGGAAACATATTAAAGCAGAATAGGAAAAAAAGAAAATAAATAAAAACAAATCAAAGTAATTAATATAGAAAACTACATATTAACATTCCAATATTCTAATAGTTTGAAATGAATCAGAGAAACCATCAACTACTACAAATATAAAATGCAACTTCCTGTTGAGACATTTATTGATAAATATGCATATACGCAAATATTATAATTTGTGAGTAAATAATTTTAAAAAATATATACAAAAATTTTAAAATGTGAAGCATAACATAGGAAAAGGTTAGAAAGAAATGGTCGAAAATATATTCATGCAAAATACGTTTAACATCTCGTGAAACACTCAATAAGAACAAGAGGAGATTCAAGATTCAAAAAGCAGAGCCTAAATAATTTGAGGCTAATGATGATGTTGATGAACTTTCAAAATACTTGTGTAACAATTGTTCGCCAATCATTTCCAAATAATAAGTAAAATTTCCAGCTCACCTCAGAAAGCGGAGCATCGCAAATTAATCAGATGTATAAAAAAAAGTAATGTCTAATCAACCGATATTTGAAGATCAGATACAACCACATAACAAACTTTTCATTGCCCTCACTGTAATTACTTCTATGCTTAGTGGGTCCAACAAATCCTTAAAAACAGATAAAGATCATATAACTGAAATTTAAATAATTAAACCACTCAATCATTTTACTCTAGAAAAAAAAAAAGGTCATGAAGTACAATAATGATCTAGTAATTGAGTATCTTCCTTGAAAGCCTTGAAAATGTTGGGCATTGCTAGCAATGAGGGGGTTCAAAATTAAAATATGGGATCTTCTTTACCACCAAACTTATAATTCTAGATTACAATGCCTAAAATGAAAGCCTAAAGACATTTAAAATCTTATAAATGAAACAACATAAAGAGAAATGCACCAAGTATTTTACTACCTTTTTTTTCTTTCTCCTAGTGCTTCTCAAAATCTGACTAGCAGCTCATAACAAGGCTATATGACCATGCAGAGGAAAAGCACTTGAATTCGAGCTACACAAATAGTCTTTCACTTCTAACAGTGTTTAAATTCAAATAAGGAAGCAAACAGATTACTAGTTTCCATTGGTGGTTTTTTTTTTATTATTATTGAAATATTCCATTGGTGATTTTTGGAGGGTATCCTTATTATTTTGTATTTATTTCCTGTCTTAGATTATTTGATTTGTTGTAATAAGAGGAAAGTCTTTTATCCATATTGCATGTGATCAATCGAATAAAAATTCTCCATTACAATTTCCTAATGATATAAGAAACTAGGCCCTTTCTCAACTTGCTCCTTCTCTCAATCGGGCGCCATCAAAATTCTAGTCTCTTCTACTTGACGCCATAATACCACTGCTATCAATCTCCATCTGCAGCAGGTCCTTCAGCTGGAAGCACCAATTTTCATAACAAGAACCATATGATGGTGCTATAATTATAAAAGCAAGTAAGATTCAAATCTAGGGGGAAAAACACGCTACTAAACAGATACTCAGCTTGATGGGAAAATCATTTGAGAGAATGATAAAATCTTGAATGTGCATGTTGCGAACCCTAACAAAATTAGCAAACTTCGTGAAACTACTCTGCTTTTTGAAAATAATTAAGTACTTATTTCGATTTAACCTACAATATCATAAGAAAATACATTTTATAAAATAAACAGCACCTGTAATTTTTCATGAACATCAAGCTCCGTTGTCTTCTACACCAGCTTGACAGATAAGTCTGCCATTTTTAGGCTGCGGATTAATCCTCTCTTCAAACTCAATCTTCTGCTACTGTTAGTCGGCTATTTTTTGCCTTCACACTAATAACCGCACCAAAAACATTAGAGGCATGGAATAAAGTTAGAACTAAATAAGGAAATCTAAGCATAACATTTTTTGAACCAAAATCAACCTTCCCAAGACATCTGCAATCAAGGAAACACGCAAGTGTTTCACAGTAGCAAAAATCAGGCCGCAAGGTACATTCATAGCCGAACAAACCCCTACTTTATGTCATTAAAAAATCGAGCCCTCCATATAGCAGCCTTGAGTTTCTTCGCATCATTTCCAAATCCCGAGCACCGAAGACCACGAAGGACTGCAAGTTGAGCAGACTTGAGCACACTAATGCGCTTACTCAAGCAAGTCCATAAGAATTTAGATGCAACACGAAACCTGCCTGCTTTACATAGACCATGCAACAAAGCCGAGTAGGTGAAAGAATCTCTTATCTTCATCATCTTAAACACACTAATGGCATGATCCACCTGTCCCGCTTTGCACAACCCATCAATAAGGCAATTATAAGCTACCACATTCATATTTAAGCCATTTATTTCCATTACACGCAAATGATTCCTAGCAGAATTAACATCACCCAATTTGCAGAATCCATCCACCAAAGTAGAGTACGTATATTCATCGCTTTGCAGGCCGGCTTCCTCAATCTCATTCAGCAGCCGTAACGCATCATTCATATTTTTTTCCTTGCAATACACATAAATTAGAGAATTATAACAAGCTAAATCAATGCCAATTCCATTATTAAGCATCTGCTGGATGCAAAGATGAGCATCTGCTGTCTTGCCCCTCTTGACTAGAGCACTAATAACCGTGCAATATGCAAACACATCTGAAGTACATCCTTCGCTCATCATCTTGGAGAATATGTCTAAACCTTGCTCAAACTTTCTTGACCTAAACAAGCATTTCATAACAGTAGTATAGGTTATGGCATTAGGAGCTATACCTGATTCTCTAATCTCCTTAAAAATGTTTATTACCTGACCTACTTTACCTGCTTTGAACAGCCCATCAAGCATTGTATTATATGTAACAAGCTCTGGAGAGAAACCAAATTTCTGTAACCTCCTAAATGTCATGATAGCGCTAACTGATTTTCCAGACTTGAAATAGCCATTAATCAATGTATTATATGTGACAATAGATGGAGAGATGTTTGTTGAACTCATATCAGAAAATATCTGAAAGGCTTCCTCTGGACACCCACAATTAAACAAACAGTGCATCAGAGTATTGTAGCTCCATTCATCAGGTTTTATTCCATCTTTTGACATTTCATCAAACAGATGCCGGCAATAGGAAAGTAGATTATATCTACTCGCTCCAGCCATAAGGGAATTGTATGTAATCACATCAGGCTTTACTCCTGCTTCTCTCATTCTTCTGATAATCAAATAGGCTTCATCTAAACCCACAAAGCGACAATACGCAGCAATCAGCGTATTGTATGTCACAACATCTGGGAGGCAACCGAGTCGTATTCCATCAACAACAACAGCCTCAGCCTTATTCAACATCCTCGCCTTACATAGAGAAGCAATGCAAATGTTCAACAACTGAGTCGAAAATCTGCCACGCATTCCTCAAGAGCTTCATCGCATGAACAATTCCTTCGCATATAAGTGTGGTATCTGAAACTTCAAAATCGGAAAATGCATTGAGTATTAGATAATGCCACTGACTTTTAAAAGTTCAATAAAGAGACAAGAAGTTTGAGTATTATTAGATGGTATGGACAGAAGGCCATCTCTGATCAATATGAATTTAGCAGAGCCTTCTCTGTTGTGCACGAAAAAACCTCAAGTACAGCATCTTGAACCAGATAAATTGCCGAAAAGCAAATTATTACTCAGATAATAGTCAAATTATGTTAAAATTAATAGAAAGGAGAAATCACAACCAGTATAAGAATGGTTTCCCACAAGGTAATTTGCTCTATTTGAAAGCAATTTATATACTTAACTTCAATTATAGCAAGTTTGCCAACGTAATTATGAAAAGCACTGCAACGCAAATACTTCTGCAATGAGGCAGTGCCAACCTAAGAGAGTGAAATCCTTCTCAGATTGATCAGCTCTAAAAGGTCTATAAAATTGTTATCAAAAGCACAAGAGCTCGAGATGGACTCACAAAGCAGTTACTGAGCTCAAGTTGGCACAAATATAAGTTAACAAGCTTTAGCAGCCTGAGCTCAACTCAACAACGCAAACAAAAGCTTGACTACAACTCAAGAAACATTAAATTTCTGCTATCACGAATCTAAATTAAAAATTTTCATCCACATCTATCTCCAAAACAGAAATTTGAAAAATGATTATTCTTTTACTTTGAAAAAAAATTTATCATCAATAGTTATCTAAACATAAGAGGAACCGTGAACAAAAGAATGGTGAAAATAAACCAGTTCCAATTACAAATCATACGATGACGAGCAACAATTCCCAGCTAGATAACAAATAATGTGAAGTAAGAAAATTGCTAATGGATGGATGAAAGATGGTTCTTGTGATGTGAGATCGATTAGGTCACAGTTGATTCAGCAACATAAGCTGACTGACGCAAGGCTTCCCCTTCCCACTTCAGGTCTTCTTGCTCTCCTAGCACCAGTGCACGAACATATTGCCCGATCTGTTGAGAATTGGTCCAAGTAAAACCCAGAGCCGAGCGGCCCGAGCAAGCATTATGACGGGACGAGCGGCCTCCCACGCCCTCCCTTTCCTTTTTAGTGCTTTTCTTTCCTGTAGGGATTGTATATTTGGTTGTTTTAGAGAATTAGGGCTAGTTCTTTTCTGTTTGTTCTTCATATTGATGTTGGAGTCCTCTTCACTCCCTGGTAGGGCTATATCCGTTGACGGGTGGTGCTTCAACTATATTCCGCTCCAGGATGGTGTGCATCTTCCTCTATTTTTAGCTGTCTAGGCCCTCCTCCTCCTCCTTCCCCATAGCCGCCGACCACTCCTTACCCACTTCTAAGCCTCCACTGTCCCCTCTCTTGCATTTACCTTTGTTGTCCCAAACCTCTAAGTCACCTCTCAGTCCCTACAGTTGATTCAGCAACATAAGCTGACTGACGCGGGGCTTCCGGCTTCCCCTTCCCGCTTTCCTAGCACCAGTTCACGGACAGATTGCCCGGTCTGTTGAGAATTGGTCCAAGTAAATCCCGAAGCCGAGCGGCCGTACAAGCATTATGACGGGACATGCGGCCTCCCACGCCCTCCCTTTCCTTTTTAGTGCTTTTCTTTCCTGTAGGGATTATATATATGGTTGTTTTAGAGAATTAGGGCTAGTTCTTTTTTGTTTGTGCTTCATATTAATGTTAGAGTACTCTCCACTCCCTGCTAGGGCTATATCCGTTGACGGGTGGTGCTTCGACTATATCCCGCTCCAGGATGGTGTGCATCTTCCTCCATTTTTAGTTTTTCAGGCCCTCCTCCTCCTTCCCCATAGCCGTTGACCACTCCCTACCCACTTCCCAGCCTCCACTGCCCCCTCTCTTGCATTTATCTTTGTTGTCTCAAACCTCTAAGTCACCTCCCAGTCCCTACCGCCCCCTCTCCTGCATTTATCTTTGTTGTCACAAGCCTCCCGGTCACCTCCAAGCTCCATTTAGCATTGTTGTCCCAACTCTCCCAGACACCTACCAACCCTTCCCATACCCTTACCCTTTCTCCGACATCACCACCGCCCTCGGATCTTCTCGGTCGGTCCTAGCCGAAGATTAGTTTATGTTTGTGTTTACTTTCCAATTGCGTCAAGTGGTAGCCCTATTTCAATATCAGTAAACGTTTGCTTTGTGTGTTCTCACTGATTTCTTAACTAGTCCCGGTATCATTTGGTATCAGAGCTAGCCTAATCCTAGTCCTATCTTAGAGTTTCCTAGCATCCGCCATAACCCAATAATTTTCTTTCCTATCATCAATTGATCTTTCCACTTCCACAAAATTTTTCCCTCCTTTTCCTAAACCTTAGTCAAGCCACCAAAGAGAAATATGCCCGAGCTTACCTAGGAAGAGATAAGGCAAGAGCTTCGTTGTCTTTAACAGAGGCCTGCGGAGATTGAAGAGTTAACACAGAAGGAGATTACCTTCGACCAAGATCTGGAGGGTCGAAGAGGAGAACTAGATGAAGATCTGAATCCCTTCCATAGAGATAATTTCAGCGAAGAAGATAGGTCATGACAATTCAGAATCCAATATCAGAGAAGGCTGAGAGAGGGGTATCTGAATCACCCTTAGAGGGAGACTCACAGAGAAGAGATATCATTTGTAGGGCACAGAGGCTTCGACATCAAAGTAGATCTGCCAGAGTTCGAAGGAGGTATGGATCCTGAAGAATTCATTGATTGGTTAAAAGTTGTTGAGCGGATCTTCGAGTATAAAGATTTGTCAGAGGACGGGCAGATCAAGAGAACTTACAGAGACAGAGAAAAAGGTAGAGGGATCTGTTAGTAGAAGAGTTCATGGAGCAGTTTGATCATTATCAGATGTAGTGTGATCTGACAGAGTCAGAGAAAAATGCAGCAGTCAGATACCTTGGGGGCATGAAGCCTAGTATTAGCAATGTGGTGCACCTATAGCCACACTAGACGTTGAGGGATGTCAAACACTAACCTTGAAGGTGAAAAGATAGCAGAAGCAGAGCAGACAACAGTCATCCTTCAGGCAGCAACCTTCAGGCAGGAAATCACCTACAGGTACAACGACCGACAGAGGTACCCCGAGAGACAAAAGCAGACCCGGGCAAGGGAGTGACACTCTAGTTCAGAGCAGGAAGAAGTAGGATGGAGCACCTCCAGCTGTCCCACGAGCAGAGTAGTCACACTTACAGACCAGAGCACAATGGAGGAGGTTAGAGAGGATACAACTAAGGACCAAAGAGAGATACATCATCTTCCCCCAGATGAATGAGAGGCACTCATAGTTTGACTAGCCCTACAAATTGATATTGACACGAGGGATTTGCAGTGACATCAAGAATGTGGAATCAATTGAGACTCCCGACTCAGAGACACTTCTAGTCGTACTCACTGACATGGCTGTAGAAGGAGAATTAGATCAACATGAACCAGAGATGTTTGGTAGAGTTCTCGGTCGAAGGCCAGCTGCAAGACCAAAGGTGGTGTAATGTGATCCCAATGGATGTCTTCCACCTTCTGTTGAGATGACCGAAGCAGTTTGATTAGAGGACTCAACACGATGGATTCAGAAACACATACTCATTTACCAAGGAGGGGCAGCACATCATTCTACTTCCTTCGACAGAGCTCGAGATCACAGGAATCTTATCGGCAGAGCTGCGTCAGTGGAGCCAATTCTAGTGACTACACAGGATGAGAGGATTGAAACACCCACTCCAGACACATGACAGTTACGCCATAGAGGATGTCAGAGCCTCACAGTCAACACTGTATCACCTGCACCACCACCGGACGGGAAGATCCTTCGACAGAGCCTGATGTCAATATAGGATTGAACAGACCGTTGGCTACTTTGGGAAGATTCAACAATATAGGCGTGACTTACAGCCTCAAAATAATACATCGATATCATATACTCACAAAAAGGGTAAGCTTCTCCCGGATTGAAGATAAGAACCAGAAGCTTCAATAAATGAAGTTGAACCTCCCCCAACCCCGGGAGACTGACGCGGGGTTTCCCCTTCCCGATGCGAGTTTTCCCGCTCGCCAAGCACCGATTCACTGATAGACTATCTGATCTATTGAAAACCAGTCCAAGCAAATTTCGGTGCAGAGCGGCCTAGGCTAAAGTTATGACAGAACGTGCGGCCTCCCGCGATCTCCCTTTTCTTTTTAGTGCTTTTCCTTCCTGTAGGGCTTATATATATGGTTGTTTTAGAGAATCAGGTCAAGTTCCTTGTTGTTTGTGCTTTAGATTGTTGTTAGAGTCCTCTCCTCTCGCTACTAGGGTTGTATCTGATGACGTATAGTGTTTCGGCTATATCCCGCTCCAAGGTGGTGTGTACCTTCCTCCCTTTTTGGTTGTCCAGCTCCTCTTCCTTCCCCATGACCGTCGGCCACTCCTAACCCCCTTCCCAGCCTCTGCGCCCCCTCTCTTGCATTTACCTTTACTGTCCCAAGCATTCAAGTCACCTCCCAGATCCTGCCACTGCCTCTCTTGCATTTACCTTTGTTGTCCTAAGCCTCCCAGTCACCAACCAGCCCCTGTCATCCCCTCTCTTGCATTTACCTTTGTTGTCCCAACTCTCCCAATCACCAACCAGCCCCTACCAACCCTTCCCGTACACTTACCCTTTCACCGACATCACCGTCACCCTTGGATCTCCTTGTCAGGTCCTAGTCGGAGATTAGTTTCTGATATCAATAAAAGTTTTTTTTATATGTTTTCGCTGACTTTCTAACTAGTTCTGGCATCAGACAGAGAGCAGTAACTCTAATGTGGCGAGTTTGACAATTACTGAAGGAAAAATTAAAGAGCTTCATTGCTTCAAGGCTCGCAATGAATGAGTTTAGTATATCCACCAATACTCTAATAAACAAGAGAGAAATTAGAGTTGGTTAGTTGCATGTATTTAAATTACATAAATTTTAAGATTACATAAGAAAATTAAGGGAAATTCACATACATACCACAAAATTCTTTTGTATTTACATCTGTTTTCAGAATAAATCATCAGCATCAACTGGGCTTTTATAAAATACCACGGAATGATTTTTTTATCAATAAGCCTCACAACTTTATTGTAGAAAGCGCAAGCAAGCTTAAACTATCCGCACAAAGATCTGAGCGAAAAATCAAAAAAAATTGATCGAAGGATGATATGATATTAGATCAAGGATGAAAAAGAAATTGATGGAATAATGATTTAGAATAAACACAAGTATCATCAAATAAATATCATATGATAAATTCAAACTTAATTACCTCGGGGATATCATTATCACCATCCACTATAGTAAATCAGATCCCATCTAAAATAAACACAAATCTCATCAACAAAATACTGCAAGTTCACAAAAATATAAAGATTAATGTGTGACAAAGCATCGGAACTGAGATATCAAATTTATTATAAAAAAAAAGGCTTTTGCAATATTCAAAATAATTGCAAGCTTCTTGATGCAATGCAAATTTAAATGAACTTTATTCTCTTTGGTCGGCGCAGCATTCTCAAACCATATAATTACATCTTTAGTATATTAGCCAGAGCGCATGTGGAAAAAAAAAAGATATCTTTTATGATTCATATTAAGCTTAAATGTTATCTTCATAGCTTTTGGTCCTGATTAGATTGCTGAAATGTTAAGATCTATATTACATATGTTAAACTTGACGCTTGAAATGCTAATATATCCAGAATTTGAATTATGGAGGTCTACATTGGAGTCTAAAGGCCTTCGTTTCATGTAGAACTAAAACTGAATACATTGAATGTAATTTTAGTAGTAGTAGCTCTAGTGGCGGAGTTGTAACTATGAATGATCAAGTCATTAAAAGATGTGAATGTTTTAGATATCTCAGATTTATTGTTCAGAGTGACGATGATATAGGTTGCATTTTCCTAGTTCATAAAATTACATTTTCCTCTTCAAAATCAATCTCATGTTGGGCATGATCAAGAACAACAAGAAACGTTCATTGTGTCTTATTAAGTGTCATATTTTCATTTAATTCTAATAAATTAAGACTCGGGCTTCGGCATTGGATCTTTCCCTGCGCCCCCCCCCCCCCCCCCCCTCTCTCTCCTCCTTCAGACATCAAGGTTTGTAGCGTTCTCTTTCTACCCACATAATGCTCAAGAGTCTTCTTCCTCCTCACGCTGCAGTTGTTCTTTCCTCTGACTCTTACCCCTATCACTGAATCGAACAAGGCTGTTAATAGTCTTCCAACGACGAAATCGTCGAGACGTTTGTTTGAAACAACCCATCCATTAGGTATAAATTTGATTTAATTCATTATTTCATTTTATTTTTTCAGGTATTACAGCAAAAGCCCAAGTCACATAAATGAAAAGTATACTCAATGATAAAATTCATAAAATATGGAAATAAAAGTCAAGTTGCAATGTTGATAATATTTTGAACACATAATCTGCTTATAGCACCACATGCACCCACATGAGTATGTCTCATGATATAGTTAAGCCAAATCACAAAATTCATTTCTCTGTAACATTGTGTCATATTTCCAAGTTTAGTCACAATGGAAATACGTATTCCAAATCATCTTACGATCTTAGTTCATAAAATTGCATTTACTTCTTCAATATCAATCTCATTTTGGGCATGAGCAACAACAACAACAAGCCTCCAATATGTCCTATTGAGTGTTATATTTTCATTTAATTCTATTAATTAAGATTATTTTTTACACAACATGCCCAAGTATTTTTAGGTCTATCTATATCTTTTTTAACATAAGTCGAATCTAAAACATATATTCTCCTCATTAGATCATCATATGATTGGCGTTTAATTTGACTAGATCATCTAAGATGACTCTCTCTAATTTTGTCTGCCACTGGAGCTACACCAAGCCTTTCATGAATACATTCATTTCATATTTTGTCTCCAAGTGTCAAGCCACTCTTCCACCTAGGGGTGTAAACGAACAGAGCTTGTGTTCATGTTCGGTTCGTTTGAAATAAGCTCGTGTTCGAAATTGTTCGTGAAGTCACTGTTCGTGTTCGTTTCTTAACGAACGAGTCGAACACGATATTACTAATATAGTATATTAATATACTATTATCATTAATTTATTATATATTATAATTTATAAAATATAATTTTTTAAAATATCATAAATTATATATATATAATTTTTTTAAATTATTTTATATTTCAAAAAATAACGATTCGAACACGACCGAACGCATCACTGTTCGTGTTTGATTCGTTTAACTAACCGAACAAAAAAAATTTGTTCACATTCGTCTCATTTACTTATCGAACGAATGGAACACGAACTCATTGACGAACTGAACACGAACTGCTCACGAACAACGAGCTTTTTTGACAGCCCTACATCCACCTATCCATTCTCATCTCGACAAACCTTAACCTAGTTTTATGCTTCTCTTTTATAGGCTAACATTCTACACTACAAAGCATTGCATGTCTCACCCCCATCTTATAAAATTTTCCTTTCAGCCTAAGCGGTATTTTTCTATCACACAATTGGCCTAATGCATTTCCCCACTTCAACCATCCAACATGAACTATAACAATGTCCCCATCTAGATCACCAATCACTTGGAGCAATAGACTTGAGTTAGGTAAAACGTTCGCTCCATTTAATGATTTGATCACCCATCGTTACAACCCTGCCACTAGATCTACTAATACTAAAATTATATTCCATGTATTCAGTTTTAGATCTACTCAAATGAAGTTCTTTAGACTAATGTAGACATCCATTGTTCAAGTTTATCCTAAACTCTTTCTCTGTACTTATCCACAAAAAGGATACCATACGAGAAAAGCATACAACAACCCAAGATTCAGTCTTCTTTTTTTTTTTTGGTAGTGCAGATGAAACTGCAAATCCTGCCAGAAAATATTGGCACTAGCTACAACTGGCCGACTCTTCTTCTGTCTTGTGAATGCCTAACATGGGCGACGACTAATCCAAAGAAGATCATAAATTCATGAAAGAAACGGCGAATCTAAATTAAACATTAACAAATCAATATAAAAATTAAGCAATCCGACAATCAGTGCATAAAATACCCAAATTCCAGCCTAGGAATAGGATCTCGAATTCAAAATTCAACTCAAAACAAACAAGCAAGAAAAAAAAATGCTCTAGCAAGGCAACGCACCTCTGTCGAGCTCCCCCCGACCTCTCTAAGCACGATCTTTTCGAGTCCATTGAACCCCTTATAAAGCTCCACAAACGGCTTCTCCTCTGACATCTCAGATCTCCCGTCAAAACCCTGTTCGATTCTCCTCCAACCTCTTTCTCTCTCAACCCCGCTTATCTCCTCAGCCTCTGCCGCCACTGTTCCAACACCCCTCTCGCTCAAACACTTCAAGCGAGACGGAAGGCGAGTAGATAACCGAAGCAGCGAAACTTTTACTGAAGCCTCGTCGGACACGAAGGCTGTATACCCTTAGGCATCCGAAACGCTGGTCTGTGGCATTCGTCTGTCGCCCGACGAAGCACTTGCTCGCAGGAGCAGGAAGATTCACATGCAAGCCACACGATTTCGGCGTATTTGCAAATTTAATGCGTAAACTTTTATTTTTATATACATGCCATCTTATCCATAAATGATATTTATAGTGTAATTTGAAATTTTAAGTATGATAAATATAAAAATAAAATTTATCATTTTATTGAGGATGAAAAGCTGGCTCCACCAAGACATTGTTAATCTTGAACCTAAACTTGTGAGTATGTTTTTAATCCATGTCAGTGATTTGCTAAGCTTAATCAATCACTTTTGTTATAAAATTTAGAGAATCAAACTATTCGAACTATTTTTTAAAGCAAGTAAAATCAAACTAATGGTATGTTTAGGGGAGCTGCAGCTTCTTAGCTATTAAGCTGCAGCTGTGCTGCGGGGAAGTTATTACGGGGAAACTGACTTATTGTTTGTTGCAGCTACAAACCAAGTAAAATCAAACTAAGGGTATGTTTAGGGCAGCTGCAGCTTCTTATCTTTTCAGCTGGAGCTGCGTTGCGGGGAAGTTATTACGGGGAAACTGACTTATTGTTTGTTGCAGCTATGTGAAAATAGTCGTCGAGCAATTGTTTCTGGAAAAAAGATCATTATATCACTGCTTAATAAAATTATTTAAAACAGAATTATGACAGTCACATATTTGATACTTCAGATGCAGAGATTTATTTCAAAAGAGAACAAAAGTTCAGATACACAACTCACTTAACAGTGAGTACCGAAAGTGCTAAAGAAAAAGAAAAAAATTAATAAAATAACAAGTCAAATAATGATGATATTATTTTTAGCATGAAGATGATGTATGTTTCGTCCTAAACTGTTATCCAATGATGCTATCAATTTGTAATCACTTTTGATAGTGGAATCAACCTATTGTCAGTCCATCGGAAGAAATCACACTTTTCTGCAAAACTCCGCAGGCATTTACAAAACTGTCGACCGTAGATATAGGGCTGACGTGACGTCAGAATGGAAGCCTCTAGTCCCATTGGCATTACAATCTTCGAGACATCCCTGAAATTTTGAGGTTCATCTTCCTGAAAGCAATGAAATAGAATCCATTACTGAAAAAAATGAATGCAAAAAGAAAAAACATATCAAAACTGACCAACACCAACTACCAGTGACAATTTTAAAGCATCCCCGAGTGAAAATTGTAGTTATTCCAATAAGAAATTATAACCACTATAATAGATGCTAAACACAAACCAAAAGCCACCGAAAATCCAACAAGTCTTTGCATATCCAAATGAATCTAATCCCACTGTAATAAATACAAATAAATTCAACCCAAAGTTAACAAAATCCAACAAATCAATGAGCTGATGTGCATACAGAAACCAAAATATATTTTTTGTGGCTGTGAAGAGAGAAGAAGATAAGCATACTGCGTGCGAAGAGAAGAGAAAAAGGGGAAGAGTAACTGGACAGCCATAGGAGGGGGAAGAGGAGAGAGAAGATCGGAGAAGAGCGAATGGCACCGTCGATGGGAGGGGAGAATCTTTTCGTAGGAGCTAGGGCAAGAAGGGATCGCGATAGCAAGGTAAAAAAAACTTGATCTTGAGGTATAACCCGTGGTGCCCTTTTTACTAATTTCCGCCCGCATCACTCCCCCGTCGCTCCCCCGCCACCGTGTCTAACGAACGAAAAAAACGGCCACAACCGCTCCCGCACAGCTACACCAAAAGGGCCATAAATGTAAATTTAATTAATTTGTTTTGATTTGATTTTAGACAAATCAAATATCAATAAATTTCAACATAGAACATAATTATCTTTTATTTAAATAGTATATATTAAAAAAATAAGAGAAAAATAAACAATATTTGTCTAAATTTATACTTTTAGCATGTCGAATAAATATTATTCAAATTGATTTTAAACATAATTTTAGTGAATTTATTTTTGTAGGGATTTGTATAATTAAAATTTCGAATTGATATTACATGAACAAAAAATTAAATAACTAAAAGATTTAAAAACTAACATTGCATCCATTACTTAAACTGTCTATTCTAAAAATACAAACTCATAATTCTGTACAGCTCAATCAAATTATGGCCAAAGATCAGTCTGCCATGTTCAATTGAGTTTGCATAAACTAAAAATTTAACAAACGTAGTATTATATATATATATATATATATATATACTTTTTTTTATTTGAAAGATTGGCAAGAGATTATTAGACGAGTCTCCCGACCAACCTCATGAGCTTAAGGATTTCATTCCGTAAATAGACGGGATCGAACCCATGACCATATGAACCTTACAAACTTTGCCAACCCAAAAGTAATGGTAGACAGCATATATATATATATATATATATCAGCAAAAGCGCTAAATTATGCCTGGCTAGGTTCTAAAGAATGGAAACAATGTTAAATTACCATAAAAGAAAATTTTAACATGGACCATAATCCAGCAGAGAGCAGAAGAAACAATTTCTAACACGTACACCTGCTATATCATGAATTAATATTTGCATTTCAGCCCCAGCAAAATCATCTTTTACTACTGACATTCTGGGAGAAAACTCTTGGACCAGAATGCTTCCTGCAGGAAAAAGATTGATTCTTCTGCTCTCCATTTAAAAATCTGATCATCACAAGTCTGATACAGGTTTTGAAGCCACGAACTTGGCTACAGCCTGAGATAATTGCTCTTCATCAAAGGGCTTGGAAACATAGCCATCCATTCCACACTTCATGCATTCCTCATAAGTTGCCTGGATGACATCAGCCGTCATGGCCAGGATTGGCAGGTGCCACTGAGTTGACTCACTGTAGCAACCATGGTGCGACGCATCTCCGCTCTTGGCTTGTTCATTCGCCTCAACCTCCATTATACGGACTTGTCGCGTTGCTTCAAATCTGAGTGAAAAAGATTCGGAATAGATTTATGACATTCTCCGAGAGCAAAAACCGAAGGAGAATGCAGAAATCAGGACATCACTCATTCTGTTGGATTATAACAAACTTTAGGCATTTACATACATGCTACACAATTTCTATGTATTTATGTATCTAACACCTAAACTTTGTTATTTACATTTATAC